TCCCCGCTAGTGCGGACTCCATGCCTGCGGCTACACGCGGCACGGAGTAGGTAGTTCGGATTAGGCTCTCTATTCCGAACTACCGTTACTCCTTGTGGAACAAGGTGTACTGGTAGTTCGGATTAGAGAGCCTAATCCGAACTACCTACTCCGTGCTGCATGTAGCCGCAGGCATGGAATCAGAACTACCGGGGATTTAAAAATGGCGGCGCCCGGCAAGATGCAAATGAAGCCTGGGATATTTAAATCCCAGGCTTCATTTGCAACTTCGGATGCCTACATTAACCACCCTAGTTCGAACTAGGGTGGCAGTGTAGATATACCCAGAGGGATGCAGTCTAGACATACCCTAACAGAAAATCCAGATGGCACCGTGAGCTTTGTGGGCACAGCCCACTTCCTGAGGTGGGAAAGGTAAGGGAACCTGGCTTTTTTGGAGTTGAATCCATTTGCTTTTTAACCCCTTGGAGCCAGCAATACCGCTCTGCATGCTGGCCCTAGATACCGAGGGGGCAGAGCAGCCGAGCGCTTTCAGTTCCAAGCCAGGGGCTTTGGTAGGTCTCTGCCCTGCGTCTGGGGCTAGAAGCTTCATCACAAACTTACTTGTGTCCAGTCGAACGAATCCTTCAGCGACTACCTGGGCAGGGCCAGTGTGCGCGGTCTGGGCAGCAGCTGGTCGCAGCTCTGACTGCTGGTATGTCCCCCAAAGGCCCAGCCGTAGCCTGTCTCACTGCTGCATGTGTGCAGAGACCCAGGGTAGCCCTGGGGTAGAACTTCCCTGTGTTGTGTGAGACCAGGGCTGTGTCTGCGCTGCCGCCCGCCTCGCTGGCATGCAACTCGTGCTCCTGCAGGGGGCTGGACCCGGCCAGGTGTTGTGGGTGCGCGTGCGTAGCCTGCGCTGCTGTGTCCTGTTGGCTTGTGGAGCGGCGCTAGAATCCGTCTGCCCACCCAGACAGCCTGGCGCAGCTGTTCTTGTGTCGGCTTTCTCAGCGCTCTTCCCTCCTGTCTGTCTGCAGGGGCCCCGACACCACCATCTTCTTCACCACGTACCTGAACGACTCCTGCAGTGAGTACGCCCTGGCTCCAGCGAGGGCTTGTGCAGAGCTGGAGAACCAGAGCCGCGGGGGCGGGGGCAGGGGGTGAGGCCAGCGACTTGGCAGGCTTTTCCTGTCAGCGCCGTGCTCTGCAAACACCGGAATAAATCAGCGGTTAGCAGCTGGCTCGTTTGCCCGGGGGGCGGGGGACAGGCCGGTGACTGTCCTGGGCCCAAGGGCTCTGCAGGCCGTACCGTCGCTGACTGGCGGCCATTTGAACACGTGAGTCCCCAACCTGTCAGCAGTGTCCCCTCTGGCCCTCGCACAAAGTGCCTCAGATGCCTGATTTCCTGGTTAAACAACGTACGTAAAGGGCCTCGGGGTGAAGGAAAGGGTGCAGGCTTTGGGGCTGGGAGAGGATGCTGACTTGGAGGAGGGGGACAGGCAGGAGTGCAGGGCCTGGCAGGGGGTTGTGACCCGGAGCAGGGATGTGGGCAGATGTAGCAGATTGGGGTGCCAGAGGGAGGGGCTGGCAGGGAGGTGCTCCCCTGGGGGGCTGCCAGCCAGGAGCT